TGCAAATTTATATAATATCTAGATGCTCTAAATTTATCTAGCTTATATATTCACATGATTTATATATGCATTAAGTGCGTATAAGTTTGAGAAGTAAACAATTTTCATAAAAATAAAAAGGAAAAAGCAAATCTTTCCAACTAAAAAAGGGAAAGAAAACAAAATTTAGTTAAACTAAGTACTCATTTGGATGTGCTTTTAAAATGACTGAAAGCGTTTTTAGAGAAAATGTTTTTGGATTCCAAAATCACTTAAAGTGCTTTATGTAAGAAGCACCAGTTATGTGCTTCTTCAAGGAAGCACTTTGAGTGCTTTTCCAAGATTTATTTGCATATTTACTCAAAATTGGTTCTAAAATTTTTTTTACCAAAAGCGCTTTCAGTTATTTTAAAATTACATCCAAACGAGCCATAACCTATCAAAGATTGGGTACGAACCATAAAGATGCATTATGCAACCGGGACCAAGAACAAATCTTGGGGCAACTAAAATGCCCAATACTTTTATTTGTGAAGTAAAATACTCCAAAGTCACATCCGGTTGAGTCGTAACACGAGTAATCAAAGGCAAAATAAATATTGTTTCTTTCTAGCTTCTGACCATTGGGGTACGATATACGGCGCAATGGTGGTTGCTCACAAATAATACCCGATCACCAAGTTCAACAACCTCCATCCATTGTGGACCACCATCAAAATTGCATTCCAGTTTGAACACTCGAAATCCTTTAGTCATTGGGTGGCTCAGTGTAACTAAAGGCCTTTCCAAGCATGCTCTTATGCCAAGGATCAGCTATTAAACACGTTTCTTGTTTAGGCTTTTATGCAGAGTCTGCCTTATGAAAAATCATAAATAACTCCATAGATGCAGAATCTTTTGGTAGGTGAACGAAATCACAACCATTGTAATGCTCTACTCTTGATCCATCACATTCAACGAATTTGTACCAATTGGACATCTCCACCTGCATCAGCCACAGACCAGGTCAATGAGGTCATAGTCTGAGGAGATAAGCTGCCTACATCGTACCAAAATCGGAGGAGATAAGCTGATATTGTCCAATCTTAGTCTTAGCTAAGGGGTGCCTACTCCTACCCCGACTCTGACCCTAAGACCATCTTCAATTTTTGGCCTAAAATTTAAAATTTTTAACCAAGAAAATTTAGGTTTTAACCCATAAACAATTTTTCAGCTCCCACCATTCTGGGCTAAAATTTTAGCCCCAGATTATTAAAAAATGAATTAAGATTAATTTTTTGCTTAAAGTAACTTTTTTAAAAGTAAAAATTTGTATAGACTATCCTAATTTAATTTTATGAACATTTTAACCTAAAAATATTTAGATTCTGACAAATACTGAAAAGTCACTAACCGACACAATGAAACTCGTTAAACAATATCAAAAAATGTGAACCAAATGAAAGATTTTTTTTTTAATTATTTTAGCCGTTAGATTTAAATTTAGACAGTTAAATTTTTTTTTTTTACCGTTGAATTTCATTAAATTAGATCTTAACCGTTGGATTCAACGAATTTATAAATATAAAATTAAATAAAATATACATATATGGTGGGCCAGGCCACTAATCCTAGGTAAAATTTGGCTTCCATTTGAGTTTTAGGTTTTAGCTCATATTTTAGCCTTGGGTTGGGTTGAGTTTTTGGGGGGAATAGAAGTGGAAATTTGAGTTTTAGCCTAGGGTTGGAGAATGTCTAAACAAGAAATACAAAGCGTCAAAAAAGGGTTTAGGACAAGTCCGGTGTCTAAGCAGCTAGTGACCTGCCATCAGCAATTGTAGTACAGGCGTCACATTTGCGGAGTCTAAGTTTTAGAAAGGGGATCTTCGGAGCACTTCCATTAAATCCACTCAATCAATGAATATGAGTCCTTGAAATTTGATTCAAGGCTAAAAACATAAAGCCCTTTTAAAAATTATAATAACTTTAGCCGTTAGATCAAATTTCAAAGATCCGGATTAATTGATTTGGTGGATTTGATGGAAGGGACCCGCAGAAGATCCCTTTCCCAAGTTTTATACCCATTGGCAGGGTCACTAGGACCCACATCCTCTTCACTCCTCAATTGGAAATCTGGAATTCAATTCAACCTTGTTCAAGTAGATATGGTATTATTGTCTCCTTAAAAACATTGTTAAATTCCATCTCTTATTACGATTTTGAATGTTCTTTTATTACGATTTTATCCATCATAACACACGTGCTAACTTGGAGTGATTTTTGAAAATATAACGATTTTAATTGTTCTTTTATTACGATTTTGATTACGATTTTCTCCATCATAACATATGGTGGAATGGTGGTTGCTCACAAATAATACCCGATCACCAAGTTCAACAACCTCCATCCATTGTGGACCACCATCAATATCACACTCCAGTTTGAACACTCGAAATCCTTTAGTCTTAGGTGGCTCAGTGTAACTAAAGGTCTTTCCAAGCATGACCTTATGCCAAGGATCCACTACTAAACACGTTTCTTGTTGAGGCTTGAATGCATAGTCTGCCTCATGAAAAATCATAAACAACTCCATTAGATGCAGAATCTTTTGCTAGGTGAACGAAATCACGACCAATTTAATGTTGAGTCCCTTTCCACCTAATCCACGTAGTTCGGGATCCAGACCATTGAAATTTGATCTAACGGTTAAAAATATGATGCTCATTTAAAAGTTATAATAACTTTAACTGTTAGATCAAATTTCAAGGACATGAATTCATTGATTTGATGGATTTGATGGAAAGGATCCGAAGAGGATCCCGTTCCCAAGTTTTACACCTATTGGCAGGGTCACTGGGACCCACCTCCTCCTCCCACCTCCTCTTCACTCCTCAATTGGAAATCTGGAATTCAATTCAAGCTTGTTCAAGTAGATATGGAATTATTGTCTTCTTAAAAACATTGTTAAATTTCATCTCCTATTACGATTTTGAATGTTCTCTTGTAACGATTTTCTCCATTATAACACACGTGCTAACTTGGAGAGATTTTAGAAAATATAACGAGAACAATATCCAAAAAACCATTTCCCGCCTCCGGGCTGAGTTGCGGGTGGTTCTATCCTGAGTATCTAAAAATCCAGTAATACCTTTGCACTCCTATAATCAACTTAAAGCAAGACCACCCATGAACCTCGAACCTACTTCATTAGGCTTAACCAAAGATATTAGTATTATTTCCCCTAACTTAAGTACAATGGTGCATGTAGTGTTACGGCACAAGACCTCCGATTTTCTAAAACCCTCAAGTTTTTAGTCTAATAGAGACGATCTATAAATCTAAATCCGATCACGTATGTACAATCTCTAAATAGTGTAACCATTTTTGTTCATGTAGCTTGGGAGCATCAAAATTTCGACTTTAATACACAACTGTACCTGTACACTTTTTTATTTATGTCGCACAAGGATTATAAGACCGACCATGCAAATTGATGAATACTCCACATTCATCTAATTTATGAAAAGAGAGACTTGGACTCGAACGCAAGTGACATATCCCAAACCTACGACTTGCTTGGGGCTTCAAACCTGCGCATATATATTTTCAAAGATTTAATTCACAAAACTGTAAATTCAGAAAGTGCAAAAGAACAATATAAAGAGCAAAAGTTGATTAATTGGTGCTATGTTCAATTAATATAGCGGATGCAATCTGCGACTATATTAATTAAAGCCCAAATAATGAGGAGTAAATATTAAACGACATTGTTGTTGTAACTATTCGAGATTTATTTGTTTAATATATAGTTCTATTATATTTAATTAAAGTGCTTTGTTAAATTATGTTTTTTTCATAAATCAATGAAACATTATAATTAAATTTTGTTTCTCAAATAAAAAGGGGTACATCTTAAAAATCTAATAAGATAACCTAATAATTATATGTACCCAAACCAATTTGTGGTGCTAGGTTCGTCTTCACTAAGATTCGAGGTGCCATGTCCGTCATCACTGAAAATATTTATCCTTCTTGTCACTTTCCTTCATTTGTGCCTTCAAAAAGCTTTTGTGTTCGGTGATGCTTTGTCGTCAACCTTCATGAACATAGCTTTTCGATCTCTTTTATCGAGCACAAGTTCCTTGCATACTCAACTTGGCTTCTTTAAAATGCACCACTCCCTTTGTCAGTCTCACCTCTTAACATCGTTTATTTTGGAACAACGTTGGAAGCACGCTTAATAATTCAGTATTTTACAAATTTTCACAACTTTCCAACATTTGTGATTGTTGAACCTGAATTTGGGCAAAATTAGGTACCAACTGTTTGCTTGCATCAACTAAAACAAATAAAGTGGGAAATAATTAATTATCTCAAAAAAAAAAAAAAAAAAAAAAAAAAACGGTAGGTGCTAATAAAAAAATTAGAAAATTGTTACCTCATCCCCAATATTTGTGTCACCTTGATAATTTTTCCCCGCTTTTGTCTGAGCATCTCTATATTTGCCTAATGCAAAACTTAAATTTTTTATCATACTGTAAGTGCACTTTTGCTACGACTAGTTCCATACCGACTGCTATAATTTTCATGAAATTTCTTCCACACAAGAAAACATTTTTCAGCGATTAACCATGCAGTTTCTGGGATCACTAGTAGAAAAAAGCTCATCAACCACGGTCAATGCCAGTGATAGATTGAAATTCATCACGGGCACTGTGCCCGTTAGTAATCTGGATGTGACAAAAAATCTTAGTTTCTACCACGGACTATGCCCATTTTCAAATGTGAGATAAACACGGATTGTGCCCGTGGTAGATTGAGATTTAATACCACATTCATTATGGCCGTTGTGAATTACAAATTGACCACGGCTAACGACCGTCATAAAAAAATTTCCAAAAATACTAATAAATCATTTAATATATAAACAAATTTACTACAATACAATAATTACATAAACAAATCACAAAATCAAATATTACAAACCGCACACTAAAGCTAACGATGAGTTATACTAGAAATATCAAACTATCCACAAAGTATCAAATAATAATAATAATAAATCATTTAATATATAAACAAATTTACTACAATACAATAATTACATAAAGAAATCACAAAATCAAATATTGCAAACTGCACACTAAAGCTAACGACGAGTTGTACTAGAAATATCAAACTATCCACAAAGCATCAAATAGGTCTCCAATAACAAGAACACTTGAAGACTTCAGATTTCTTTGAACATCTCCAAACAAAGGACCTTGAGAGTGAACTACTGCCCCTAATACTTGAGCCTCAGCAATTGCTGCCTCTCTCTATTTGCATGGACATAAGCATATGGATCACAAGAAAAAAAAAATATTGTACTCGTATAGGTGGAAGTATACATTTGATCTCAATCAAGAAAAGTAAATAGAGTTTCTGCCTCTAAACCTTTCTACTCATGCATTCCTTTGCAATTGAACTCTAGACAAAATTATAATAAGAGGGGTCCTTTGAGAAAAGATAAACACATGATTAGATTATGAACCTACTAAATAGAGCCACTGCGTATAATTCTGCAAATACATACTATACAAGATTAACCAAACCAATAGCATAAACAAAGATTTTTTTTATAAACCATAAACAATAGTAACCATATCGAAAGTAAAATCTAATAAACAATAGCGATTTGAGAAATTGAAATTATAGAAATATACAGAGGACGCACCTGTAGAAGTTAAACATAGAAACACAATTTCATCAATGGTGAAGATTCGCCGCCCAGAATTTAATTGATCTGTACGATTCACTGTAGTGCAAAATAGCATACATATCAAATATACCTCAATTCATTGTTTTTCCTTGTTTTATTTTTTTTAAATGAAAGCTTAATAATTCAAGAGTAACTTGCAAATTGTAATAACCCTCAATTAACAAAAGCAATAGTAAAGGAAAAAGAAGCATTAAGAGCTTTAAACTAGCAAAACCCAGCCACTTGCAAAACATCTATATTGGCAGAATTAGCCAAATTTCAACCCCTTGTTCCTTCTTTCTACTTCTATTAGTCACTATAACAGCAGTTCGCCTACAAAAGGCCAAAAAATTAGGAAAACAAACAAAAATAGGTTCAAAGATAGCATCGTTGAGTCTTCGAGGACATCAAAATTGAAAATGAGAGCGGGACAAATTGAGGGAGATCCTTCACATATAAATTTGTCAGAAACCAAAACTATACAAACAATTCACTTATCAAAGAAAAACAATGTCTCACATCAGTAATTCAAAGCTAGAATCCCGTTATCGTACCCCGGTTAGCACCATTTTCATACTAATCAGAATCCCCAAAGCAAATTCTTTACCAATCAGTGCATACCAACGTCAATTTAAGTTCACAATTCATCAAGAATGCCACTTTTAACAACCACAGCTACAAATGTAAAGCAAACCAGTTCCGAAAAACAACAGAAAGTGTGAATGTAAATGTACCTCAGCCAGGTCGAGATGCAAATCGTCTTTTAAATGGAAAGATAAAAACCGACAGCAAGCCCTGCAAGGCCTAGGACACCTTGAACAAAATACCATGGCAACAGCCACATTGTCAGGGCACAATTCGACCCCAAAAATTTTCACACTGCTCGTTCTCTGCTTGGTCATGCTTGGAGAAGGCATGCTTGCCTCCTAGTTATCAACATTCATATACCGTGATTGATTTCAAGAAGGCGCTGTGATTATATTTATTTCAACAATGGGTTACCCTCGTGGTCATATCAAATAACTACAACGAGCTTTATTTGCGCATTATTATTCTAATATGTTCTAGTACGCGCCGGTTTTGCCCGTTGTTAAAACCATTTACTCACAACGGACTTTAAATGTCCGTGGTAATATTGGATATTCTACAACGAGTCTTTTATGTCTGTGGTGAATTAACTGTGATAAATGTGGTGCTGTCTTGTAGTGGATGGTGACAACTGACAAGGCCGATAATCATGCAGTTTCTGGGATGGTGACAACTGACAAGGCCAAGCCCTCTCTTCTCTCTTTTTCCAACCCGAAGTGCATTGATGTGAATAAAGCAGCAAAAAATAAAAACAACAAAATAGTACGTACTGAAAAGTCATGGTTGGTCAATCAATAACGTGCTTTCGTTGCACGCATCCACGTAATGCATTGATATGCCCTACCAAATCCTTAGTCCCTCGTCGTATATGTTACATAGACAGCACCAACTTTGTGGTAACTTTAAATGAGTTTCATTACACCCCATTACTCTCACCCACCAACCTCCTCTCATATTTAATTGCAAAACCTACCAAGTTAAGACATGAAAACCCTAAAACCTTTTGCTTCTCTAACACTATATAATAACATTACCACCTTCCCAATTCTAAATCATTTCCTACTTCCATGAGACCCTTATCTTTTCCCAATTCATTCTGCATCTTCATGCCTCACTCTCTCTCCCTTCTCAATTCCTCCTAACTCTCGTCCTTGCAAGGATATACTTCCTTCCAAAACACAAAAGGCTTTAGCATCATTTTCCGACTATGAAAAGGTATTGTATCCCATATTTGAAATGTTGTAATTGCTTCTGTTGATCGTAGACTTTATAATTTGTAATTTTATTTTAAGATTTATGTATAAGATTTGCTAGTGTGATAAGAGACTTAAAGTTGGTGAAATAAAAAGCAGAGCACAAAAATAACGAAGGAAGGATTAATGGTATGCGGACTCTTTCAGGATCCTTTTTGATATGTCGACGACAGTGGTCAGGAAGGGGAGTAATTGTTGAACCAGTGAGTTAACCGGAAATTAGATTCACCACAGCGATGGTTTGCTTCCATATCTTTCAATGCGTATTAATTGTGCTGTTTATTTTAATTATTCCAACCGTCGTAGCCATAACATCCTACATATATCATCTTCATATCATGATTCAATTTGTGATTTTGGATTTAATTATAGTGGGGATCATCCACCGATATAGGGCAAAAATCACCCGAAGGTAATCGAGTTCTTAGGAATCGAATACTTCAAGAGAAGTAATAGAGGTATTTTTATGGGCTTTAGCACTCTACTTACAAAATATCATTGACCCTGAATGCATAATTTGCCTCTTCACCATACTGAACTGTTTGTATTACCTGATTTCCTATGTCTTGTTTCTGAGACATACTAAAGTTCTAATTTTTTTGGAATTTGCACTAGAAATAAATGTCGTTATTTTAGTACATTTTTAGAAAATTGATTGATAGTGGCAAAAAACTTAAAGGTTATGAATATGGATTATTTGGTCTATCAATTACAACTTGCATCTATGTTCTTTTGTTTAAAAGTCATTAGTAAAATGTGATAGAGTGGATTGATGATCCACGGACTGTTTTTTTTTTTTTACTCATATTTGTCTTCATCCCTACTGGGCGATTCGCCAAACGTACTTGGAATTAGGTGAAAATTAAGTCTACATAGTTTACTAATGACTTTTAAACAAAAGAACAAAGACGCAAGTTGTAATTGATTGACCAAATCATTCATATTCGTAACCTTTTAAGTTTTTTGCCACTATCAATCAATTTTATAAAATGTACTAAAATAACGGCATTTATTCCTAGTGCAAAGTCCAGAAAAGTTAGAACTGTAGTATGTCTCAGAAATAGGACAAAGGAAATCAGGTAATAGGAACAGTTTAGTAGGGTGAAGAGGCAAATTATGCATTCGGGGTTAATGATATTCTGTAAGTAGAGTCCTAAAACCCATATAAATACCTCTATTACTTCTCTGAAGTATTCAATTTCTAAGAACTCGACTACCTTAGGAATGATTTTTGCCCTATATCGATGGATGATCCCCACTATAATTAAATCCAAAATCACAAATAGAATCATGATACGAAGGTAATATATGTAGGATGTTATGGCTGCGATAGTTGAAATAATTAAAATAAACAACACAATTAATATGCATTGAAAGATATGGAAGCAAACCATTGCTGTGGTGAATCTGATTTCCGGTTAACTCACCGGTTCAGCAATTGCTCCCCTTCCTAACCACTGTCGTCAACATATTAGAAAGGATCCTGAAAGAGTCCGCATACCATAAATCCTTCATTCGTTATTTTTGTTCTTTGCTTTTTTTTTTTTTTCACCAACTTTAAATCTCTTATCACACTAGGAAATCTTATACATAAATGTTCAAATAAAATTACAAATTATAAAGTCTAGGATCAACAAAAGCCATTACAACCTTTCAAATATGGGATACAATACCTTTTCATAGTTGGAAAATGATGCTAAAGACTCTTGTCGAAAGCAAGTATATCCTTGCTGGCCATGATGAATATGCATTGACCGCCGAATTCTTGCTGGCCATGGCTCATACCGCTTGTTGGCCGATGATTGTTTGTGCCGCTCAGTCTGCTGGTGCTTTGGGATTGATGATACTCCATAAGCAATTTCAACGAAAGGAAGTGGAAAAAGAAAGGACGTGTGTTGGGATCAAGGATAACCAACTTAACGACCCCATAGCTAAGAGGACGCCCATTGGCGTCTTCGCTCATCTCAAATATATACCACTGAAAACATGGACGCTAAGGACGTTGTAGCATATAACTTACCACCCAGTATATCTATATCATTAACCCAGGGTACTGGCTGAGGTTCATGATTTATCCCTTGACCCCGTTTGCAAAGACAAACCACAAAACATGGCTCCTGGCTGATTGTTTTTGGTTCAGAAGAGGCAATAATTTTAGAAACGGAGAAGCCAGGACCATTGATGCAGTGGCATGGAAGGTGGATTGCAACGAGGGGAGCATCACTCGATCGCGAGATATTGGATTGAAGAAGAAGAATTCTATTTTAAAACTAGGGTTCTGAGAATTCGTTAGGTAGACTGACCAGGGTTTCATAAAACCCTTTGGGACGCCTCAACGCACTGTCGATCATGATCAACCATCCCTCTATTGAGCCAACACAATCCATCCTATTCATTGTACAATAAAAAATTGGATTTGGCCATGATCGTTGAAATTTAGATTCTTTCCAATCACCTGGACTTAAAATGCAATGATCTCTAGTGGACATGGGATGAGAGCTTAACATAAGCCATGGAACTTGATCCTGAGAGAGGGAACGACGTGATTGAATATTGCTTCTAATAATTGCTTGCTATGAACGGCATACTGCAGCACATCGAAGATGATCATTCTTCTTCTTCTTGTTATTATAAAGATGATCATTCTCAACTTCCGGCCAATGAAATCGAGAATGAGCAACAAAAACACTCTTGGTAGGCGGTATATGTTAATTTTCGTTTGATAATCATTTTGTTCTCAGTTACAATTTTTGTGTTCACTTTGGTAACTATTTTCAGTTTTCAAAACATAAAAAGTTGAAAATTGAGAACCACTATTTTGAATTTCAAAATTTAATCTTGAGTTTTTATTTTTTGATTTTTAGTTTTTACTTCAAGATTCTTAAGGGCGAATGTAATTGTCGATGCCAAGTATTTTGAATCTATATATATGTTCCAACTACTAAGTACAGTGAATTACTAATTCGTGTAATTTCAAAATTAGGAGAAAAGAAACTCATATGGTTGTATATTCAAACGTTTAAGTGGGCCAAATTTTATCCTTTTGTAAGCCAACATATGATATGCTGACAAAATGATGAATAGCATCGTATCAAACTCCCAAGAAGAGGGATTAAGATTCTTTTCGGATTTTAATGTCTGGAGTCTAAAAATCAGGAGATTTGTACCGTTCAAGAGATAACAAAAGAGATCCGGGCCGTTTAAGTTTTTGAGTTTTTGTGAAATAGGCTAATAGAGACCGTAAAATTGATATTGAATGGTCAAAATCTCTTAGTTTACCAACTCCTAGCATAGAGATCCGAAGCAAATCCTATTCCCAACAAGTGAACATTCTCAACTGATTCTTTTGTGTTGGCATTTACATCTATTCTTTTCTCTTGCATTTCTTGTACTTTTTCCGCTGCGAATCTGAAGGATATGGCTGCACTGCCCCAAGTTTTGGCTACACAAAGACTTGAAGCTTCAATACGATTACAATATATATACATATATATATATATGTATGTATGTGTGTATGTATATAGGAAGTTAAGGAATATAAAGATCCTTACATACATGAGAAGATATGCAAGCTTGAATATTTATGCCAGCCAAATGATAGAGTGGCAGGTACTACTAGTTGATCAAATTTTAGTATTCCCTAATAATGTAAACTCAGGAATCAATGGCTACTTTTTTTCACCCCAACTTGATCATAATTCTCAGACAACATATATATATATATATATATATATATATATATATATTATTAGGATGACATCCATATGTCTTTATCATTAACCACCCCACCCCCACCCCAAATTGTAGATTCTTGTATCCCGTCATATATAACTACATTACCTGTATTCATTACATGATTAGAGATATAAATATAAGAGGATACACTCCGATTGTGAAGATTTTTAGATACGTACAAGTCTTAAGAACTTGTGTGATATGTATGCAAATTGATAAACTTTTCAAACCCATGTATGTCCACCACCAACATTACTAATATTGTCACAACTTAATTACCTATTGCTAAATGTGTTTTATAAAAAAATCTCAGTGATATTAAGTTTGGAATCTCTCATACATTAATTGTATATTAT